ATATGGAGGAAATCAATTAATGGAAGAATTTGATGAACCTAGTATATCAAACCGGCACGAGCCATCAATCATACCAAACAATTACTACAGGCACCTTCGCCTTAAAAGTCATGCTTATACGTTTAAACAGTGGATTTTAAGGTAAAATTCTAACTGAAAATACTATTCAATCTGTTTGGACTACGTTGGAACTTACGTTCGATTCCATAAGGTGTATGCCATACGTGAACGAATACTGATAGTCTCGAAAACTGCTTATCTTGAGAATTCTTTTGGGTATATTTTCCTCAGGCTGCCGAAATGGCAGAGGCGTATAAATGATTGTATACATTTTCGAGATATCAAAAGGGTATATTTTATCAAGAGTAGCAGAAATATAGTCCATATCTTCGCTCATGCTACTGTTTATTATCAATTTAAGCAACCTCTCTGCCTCATTTATTCGATTTTCATGGTCCAGTTTGGGGTATGCTGGTCCAAACGTGTGAATATGCAGCGTTCTGTTTACCAGTTGCAAAAATCATCATTCATCTTATCAATATGTATGAATATACTTGTGGAGGTAGCAATAATTAAATTGTTCGGACTAAATGCAACGTAGCCACACGCTTGATTGAATGTACTGCAAAGTTACGGCTTCTCCACAAAGTTGGCATGGCAATAGGCGCACTAACCATGGGGTGGGTTAAATCAGGAGCTAGCACCGCTTTTAAGAAAGGTTTTTAAATTGTGGCCAGAGTAAGTCCCAAGCTTTTTTACGTTTATGAAATGAATGACTACAAAGATTAAAAAGTCTAGACTCTGCATCCAGAAGACAATGTTACATGGGTTACATTCATTCTTGGATTTATGCATGTATTACGAAACATGTGACTTTTGTCTAATACAACTATTAATAGTGGTGATATATCTTTTATTTTTCTTTATTATCCGCTCTTTTTTATCTTCTTCAAATAATGGTTGAAGAATTTTATGGATAAGACCTATTCTATTTTGGGGCAATAGTGTGTATTACCAGAATTTTTATTTATCTCTTATCGTATAGCTTTATTTAGCTAGTACTCTTAGGTCTCTCCTCTTCTTCATACAGGCATCTCATCTCTCATTGATCCTGCCGCTGAATCAACCTGTTCAACGATCACAAGAGGCAGAAGTGGACATTCTTTGGGTAGCACCAGCACTGGTACCTTGGGGCGGGTCACAGGCCTCATCAACTCAACTCGATCGCCGTTACTCGACCGTTGGCTCACAAGCCAGGATGAACGGCTCATGGCCTGGTGCCAGGCTCTGGCAGGGAGGTAGGCTTTTTCAGTTGGGCAGATTGGGGTCCGATGAGATAGGAAAGCTAGTTTTTCAACTAAATTTGGTCTTTCATCGAAAAAACATTGCACTCACTAGCCCCATTTTGGTGCCAACAAGGCACCCAGTGCCAAAGCAACTTAAAATGAAGGACAACTAACTCTTCTAATTGATACTGCATAGTTTACACCATTTCCATGTGGCGTAATGAACCTGTTATCAATTCTATTTACAATAAAATGAAGAGAAGGCTTGACTTTTCGTCAAAACTTCCTGCTACATGCGTTCTAAAAGGCCGTTTACATCAAGACAGTTCCAGACCATTCTGAACAAATTTAGGTGGGTTTAAGCCGGGGTTATATTGGCTCAAAGTCGAATATACTTATCCCCTCATCTCGTTGCCCCACCAAAGATGTGAACGGAGCGAGTTCTACCTTGTCATATCGTGCATCATAACTGGGCTGGGATCACTTAACTTGCGTTTGAGGTCACATATACCCAGTTTGAATCACTTGCTTTGTAAGACCGAAGTGAAGTCGAAAGCATTGTCCATTCTTGATGAGAAGGATAATTTAGGATTATTGGGACAATGAATTTCAATGCAACAGCAAACCTCTTCTTTTAATTAATCTTGTGTATAACTCTTAACAGTCCCTGCAACAGCATACAAAAAGGGTGCACCTTGGCAACAATATTATTATGCTAACTAAGCTTTTTAAATGGTCAATGTCGTAGAAAGCATTAGGCCTGTAGCCCAAGAAATGAGGTATAATTAGCATTTTTCAACTGTCTTGTTGTCATTCCCTTGAATCTCTCACCCTTCTTCGTAGTCAGCTCTTTTCATATGTTTTGATGTTGTGAAGTCGACATTAAAGCATAATAACCGACATGATGACACAGCTCAGGCGATTCACATCTTTAAGTGTTTACTCTAGTGATAACCAAGGCTCGCTTCACCCAATAGCTTAGCTTATCCGCAGACTAAATGGCTTCTGTAGATGTTGACTGAAGTGAACATGTAGATTCGGATCATCTTTAATATTGTGACTGGGTGAGCACATATTGCTGGCACTGATGTGAACAAAGGTTGGATTTAGGCTAACAATGCACAAAACGAGCCATAGAGTGAAGCTTTGGTCCTGGTACAGATTAAAATTAAATGTACTGATATGCGCTAACTCAAAAGATTGTTGTAAGCTGTATTCGCAGACCAATGAGCAACCTATCAAATTTTAATATTTTACAAATAAGCATAACTGCTGTTAAAATAAGTGTAATCCGATGGAATTCATTCCTTTGCAATAATAGCATTTTAGTTGTAGGCAGTATAAGTTTGCGAGGCACTGATGAAAGGCCTCTTAATCTCCGTCACTCGTTTCGAAAGAGATAGCCACCCATAAAGTCAACTTACATTTGTATTTACGAAGAATATTTAGGTTTAGATGAGTCTTTTGACATAACATTACAGTGGAGCCTTTCATTTCGTATAAAAGTGCGTGATGAAGAGATTTGTAAGTCGATGATGCCTGTTATATGAAGGAAGAAAGTTCAGCTTGCTTTTACACGATACGAGATAGGACGTTTTATGAAATGCGTCAACCTGAATGTCGTAATAGATCCAAATGGCTGCAGAACAATAGGAATCAGCTGTCGTCTTCTGATAAGGTCTTCAATGAAACTAAGAAAAAGCCACATTATAGTTACTAATAAATGTTGGAGTATCTTCCATTTCGTTCTAAGAGGCGAGTTAAAGCGATTGGTAAATCGGCCTCACTAGAAGCTGTAGGGGCATTGCCTTAGAGCCATAACTGTAGATTTTTGCGAATAGACCATCGGCGCACAGTCCCGCAACCGCAACGGGTCCCTGCTGACCATTCGTCCGTCATGTAATGAACATCTCGAGAGCAGGATGTCCCTTTAATTAATAGCTATGCAAAAGCATCAACAAGGAAAAATAGAGAAACTAGTATTATTAAAAAACGAAGTGTCTAGGAAAAAGTAGTATTAGTTGTAGACAAGGGAGAAGCAGTATTGTTCATGGATAAACATAATTATGTGGAGAAAATGATGCGAGCACTAGATCGTAACTTAATGTACAAGTGTATCAATAAGGACCCTTCAGAAACCCTGAAGTCTATACCCAGGGGTAGCCTAAAACATTTTGTAGCAAAGGCGGAATTAGAGAAGAGTAAAATGAACACAGTTCTTCAGCGAAATTATAGGCCCCTAAATGCATATGGTCTGTCCAAAATATATAAGGAATGAATCGAACTCAGAATTATTGTTAATAATAAGGGTAGCATGATTCATAAAATATCACGATATATGTCAGCAAATAACGCAAACCTCATTCATAGTATTTTCTAATAAGTAACTCGTGGAAATCCGCTCCGTTAGTCGAAGTCAACGCGCATTCGGTTGTTGGTGAGACGAATTCATGCATCCATACGGATCAGATTTCATTCGAAAGGAAAAGTCCAATCACCATGACTTGTTAAGGGATTGTTCGAAATTCAGCTTTTCTTCATAAAAGTGCTTAGTTTTTGCCTTATACTTTTTCAGGCATTAGCATAAGAATTTAAATGCACACAACGAATCTTCGATATGTGCTTGCTGATCCTACATCGAAAATGGGAAACATGGACAGCCTTCAAACTTGTACTATTCCGCATGATTGAGAGTCGGTGATCTCAATCGTCGTTAATTTGCTATAAGTTCAT